CTATTACAAGAATACTCATAATTAACTTCACGAGAGAAAACACCAACATAATATTATTATATTTTTTATTATTATTATATTTTTTTATTATTATTATATTTTTATTATTATATTTTATTATTATTAATTTTTTTTATTATTCGTATTATTTCGCCGTCTGGAGGACCGTGGTTCCTTTCCGGGATCAGCGACTTTTAACATATTGAAGATCTAAGCAAAGAAATAAAATAAAATTATCACCGATATCTTCCAGCTTTGAATTACTGTTTAATGGTTGAAACGAGACGAGAGGAGAGGGCGAGACTGGAACGGGTGTAACCAGGAGGTACCCGCAAGTGCAGCCCGGGTACCTCCTGGTTACACCACACACACACACACACCCACACCCACACCCACACCCACACCCACACACACACACACACTCCTATTAGACCGTCGCGTTTTGACGTATACTCCAGCAAAGGCCAAAAATTGTCGTACTGGAACATGGAAGCGGCTCGCGAAAGTGACATGCAGTTCCGTTTTCTGTTCTCTGGTAGGTTAGGACAAGGGCACTTTAGCACGACAGTTTCACGACGTTGGGACACCTTAGGCGGACTGGCTGGCAAGTGAGAGGGTGTGGAGTGTAGAGGCACGGGAGGTAGAAGAGAGGTGTGTGGAGTGTAGCACGGGAGGTAGAAGAGAGGGGTGTGGATTGTAGCACGGGAGGTAGAAGAGAGGGGTGTGGAGTGTAGCACGGGAGGTAGAAGAGAGGGGTTTGGAGTGTAGCACGGGAGGTAGAAGAGAGGGGTGTGGAGTGTAGAGGCACGGGAGGTAGAAGAGAGGGTGTGGAGTGTAGCACGGAGGTAGAAGAGAGGTGTGTGGAGTGTAGCACGGGAGGTAGAGAGAGGGGTGTGGAGTGTAGAGGCACGGGAGGTAGAAGAGAGGGTGTGGAGTGTAGCACGGGAGGTAGAAGAGAGGGGTGTGGAGTGTAGAGGCACGGTAGAAGAGAGGGGTGTGGATTGTGGGAGGTAGAAGAGAGGGGTGTGATTGTAGCACGGGAGGTAGAAGAGGGGTTTGGAGTGTAGCACGGGAGGTAGAAGAGAGGGGTGTGGATTGTAGCACGGGAGGTAGAAGAGAGGGGTGTGGAGTGTAGCACGGGAGGTAGAAGAGGGGTGTGGAGTGTAGCACGGGAGGTAGAAGAGCGGTGTTTGGAGATGAGAGCGACGGCCGGAGGTGGGAGCCCCATCACCCCCGCCCACCTGTCCATCATGTGTGTGTTGGCTCAGCACAGATCACGCAAGTCTACCATGATCGATACCCACAACCCTGGTTGTTATCACCCCCATACGGCGCTGCTCCTCCTCCCGCTCCCCCGTGGAAAGCATCACCAGATATATAGCCTACGGGCTCGCCATAGCCCGTGCTACTTGCAACTTTTGGTTCCCAGTAGCCAAGTCTAAATCCTAACCACCACCGCTCCCTAAACACACACACAACATTACCTTCTCAGATTGATTGATAAAGATTAAGCCACCCAAAAGGTGGTACGGGCATGAATAGCCCGTAAATGATCTTCTCAACACTACAACTCTCTATATTACCACAACCTGGCCACAACCTCCTTCCCCATCATTCCCTCGCTCGAGGCACGAGTTGTGTCGAGGCAGCGAGTCATTTAGATAATATTAATAATATCTGATGGAGGTGACAACACCATCTAGACGTCACCTATGGTTACTGTCACCCGTCTTAAAGCCACCATGACCACTGTTGTCACCTATGGTTACTGTCACCCGTCTTAAAGCCACCATGGCCACTGTTGTCACCTATGGTTACTGTCACCCGTCTTAAAGCCACCATGGCCACTGTTGTCACCTATGGTTACTGTCACCCGTCTTAAAACCACCATGTCACCTATGGCCACCACCACAGTGTCCACCATGGCCACTGTTGTCACCTATGGTTACTGTCACCCGTCTTAAAGCCACCATGGCCACTGTTGTCACCTATGGTTACTGTCACCCGTCTTAAAGCCACCATGGCCACTATTGTCACCTGAACACCACACTTAAGTGCAGAATTGTACTTATTTATATTTGCACTTTATATCCCACAAGTTTTAATACGCACAAAAAACTGTACAAAAAAAAACTTGAAGGGTAACTAACCAAAGTTAAGGGCACCCCAACTGAACTTAACAATTTCATACGTTGTTGTTGTTGTTGTTTAAGATTCGCTACCAGGAATTTCATACGTATTATTCGCCCTGAAGATAAACCCCAATCTTTAAGAAACACGCTCAGTTGTCTCGTGCACTCTGCAACACCTCCCATCACAGCTTCATGACCACGTACAGTGTAACAGTGCTAGAGCGACGGGGTGTATACGTTCACCCGTGCAATAGCTGCTAGGCAGGAGCCCAGGAGCTAAATCTCGCCCTACGTAGCTAGGCGAGACGGCTATAGGTAGGCATACAGACGCTTTCACTGTAATCATCTCTACTGCACTGACATCACCACCACCATAACTACCAGAAAGACTATAGCACTCATCTACGTTTTCACCACCATCACCACCACCACCACTATCACAACCCTTGACATGACCACCATTACCACCACCATCCTTGACACCTTGATACGACCACCATCATCACCACTACCCTTGACACGACCACCACCCTTGACACGACGACTACCACCGCCACCACCACCATCCTTGACACCTCGACACGACCACCACCTTCAGGATCGTATGGTCGGAGACGCCAGCGTCAGACACTACCAGCAAACGCATCACAAACACGTTACACTCAAGACAAGGTTACATGACAAGCTCCTTCGAGACATCGCTAACGATCCACCAGACTCAGCATCTCTTAGCAGTCAGAAATACTCACATTTGTAAATGAAAGATGGTTAATGGGACTATTACTGCTGCTGCTGGTGGTGGTACAGAGGAGTACACAGGCAGACTAACATGTCGACAACACACATCACCAGCATGCCACGAGTGCAATATTATTGTAGCACAGAGCAACACGCACGCTACACCCTCCCTACACACACACACACACACACACACTAGATTGATTAGAAACGCCGGGTCCAAGAGCTAATAGCTCGATTCTGCAGACACAAATAGTAAATTACACGCACTAAACAAACTCAAAGGTATGATCCAACAAACGGCCCCTGGATTTTAACTCAAGTAAATGTATAGTAATGAAAATAGGTGTAGGGGGGCTGAACTTAATATGCCAACTGGAAGATGAAATCCTTCGAGAATCAGGTAGAGAAAGATCTGAGTTGATATCACACACACATATATATATATATATATTATATATATATATATATATATATATATATATATATATATATATATATATATATATATATATATATATATATATATATATATATATATATATATATATATATATATATATATATATATATATATATATATATATATATATATATATATATATATATATATATATATATATATATATATATATATATATATATATATAAAACCATTAAAATGTTACATTCATCTTTTCAACTGAGTCAACTCTTTAAATCTAATACAAATTTAAATTGAACATTAAAAGGTATATTAATAAAAAATATTAAAATATATTAAAATAATTATAAAGTATATTTTCTCATAACCCAGATCATGTTAATATTAAATATTCGAACACGGAACCAAGTTTATTATTAATAAAATATAATATAAAAGTTGACTGCAAATTTGAGAGAGAAATGTGGCGAGCCGCGATCGCCGTCACGGGCAGCTTGTCTGGCCTCTAGTATACATTTTATTCATTTATTCATCCATGTATTCATTCATTTACGTATACTGCTAGAGTACCCATGTGCGCGCCCCAGGCCTCCAACCTTGGCCAGATACATTATCTTTTATTTAGATTATTAGTATATTTACTAATATTGTATGGGGATTATGGTGCTCAATATACGACGGTGTTACATGCAAATGCGCACAAAATGGACACTATTGATGACAGACACCAACAACCTGGTTGATGGGAACCTTGGGGACGAGGGCTCTATTTCGACCCTAGAGACGCTATACGGACCTCCACCTTTGCACTTCATCCTGACCAGATACAGTTCACCATTATTCGGGGTCCCAACATGTGACCTGATGGTCCTTGCCCCGTTGATCGGCCGGAACCTCACAGCAGAGTGACAGCAGACAGTCTGGCGGGCGTCCTAGCAAGTGCCGGGCCTGCACCGCCCTCTGCAACAGCTCGCTCTTTTTGGCGGGAAGAGGCCATCGGCAGAGTTGTGGCGGATCATTCCCGGCTGCCTACGGTGTGAAAATAGTATCCGACAGAGGTGTTGGATATTATTTATCTCCCCTCAGTGGTGGAAGAAAGCTTAGGAGAGCCAATCTGGTGGTGGGGAGGAAAGATGTGGGTCTCTCCCCCTCCCACCCCCCACCCCCCTCTTCAGACATGTGGGTTTAATTGGAGGTAATCAGGTGGCGCTTGGTGGGGTATGCAGTAAGTGCGCCGCATCACTAACGACCTAGTAATAAAGCCTAACATAACGCCCACCCTCCCTAATGACCCGCCTGCACGATCACACATCACAAAAGCTTTATGGCCGCCCCATGCCCATTACCTGTTTTACCCGCGAATAATAATTGCAACAAGAATGATCCTATAAGCGCTGGGACCCCCGCCCCCCACCTTTCCCCCACAGCCAAAACTGTCTGTAATAATAACCCACACTAGGGTAGGGGGGGGGGGGGGGAGTATATCCTTCGCCACCACAACTTGGCTTAAACCACAACCTGGATAATAACTGCACATCAACATTATTATACCGCTCCTTTAACTGGAGACTAATGCAGATGGCATGAGACAACCAAGAGGTGTGTGTGTGTGCAGCTTAGTTAGTCCTAATGGAACAAAGTAGTGCGAGGCCAGCTGTTCCTGACTTATGGCTCTGTGCATCTCCTCGACCACCTTATTAGGGATA